GTGCTGGGGGCTGCTGGATCCAATCCCAGCCTTGCATTATGCCAACAGTTTCAGTTTGGAGGAATTACAGAGGTGTGACTGAACCACTTTTGTCCCCCAGGTTTTAATGACGGCAAATCAGATCTATTGATAGAAATGAATTATTTAGGGTTCCAAATGATCAGACACAAGATCTTCATCACAATTATTGACTGCACAAGAGAAACACTAAAACTACCAGGAGTACAGTATAAGATAGGACAGTGCTCTACACTAAAGCAATTGTTGAAGCAATTCTACTGAAGCTGACACAAAAGCAATAATTCTTAATTAGAGAGCGATGGAACTCCCCCAGACCAGTGCTCATGGGGAGATCTCTGCTTTCAACCTCCAGGACTGACCCTGGGGGGTCCCCAGCCAAGGCAGGAATCTCCACACACCCCCCAGGAAGGGTTCTGTTGGAAGAAGTTGCCCCTGTGAAAGGGGACTGGCCCTTTGTGGTCAAAAGGGATGGACTGACAGTCACTGGACTCCAGGGGTTGCCTCCAAATCAGGGGGTTCATTCGGGGTAGAAGCAGTGGTCGAAGTTCTTCCCGCAGTCGGGGCACTCAAGGGCTTCTCTTACTGGTGGGTCCGTTGGTGTTTCTTGAAGGCAGACCTGTCAGTGAAGCTCTTGCCACACTGCCCACACTTGTAGGGTCTCTCCCCGCTGTGGATGCGCTGGTGGGTGAGGAGGCTGGACCTGTACCTGAAGCTCTTCCCACATTCCTGACATGTGTAGGGGCATTCCCCAGTGTGGATGCGCTGGTGTCGGATCAGGTTGGAGCTGTTCCTGAAGCTCTTCCCACATTCCTTACATGAGTAGGGACGTTCCCCAGTGTGGATGTGCTGGTGAGTGAGGAGGCTTGAGCTCTGCCTGAAGCTCTTCCCACATTCCAAGCACCTGAAGGGCTTCTCCCTGCTAAGAGGCTGCTCAGGGACCACCAGCTCAGCGCTCCCCCTCAAGCTCCGGCCGCCTTCCCGGCACAGGCTGGGTCTTTCCTCCTCAGAGCACCCTGGGCTGGCTTTGGAGCCCCTCCTGCGGGGGGATCTCCGGCCCTTTTCCTCCCCGCTGCCTTCCTGCGCCGGGGAGCCCTTCAAAACGGCCTCTCCCACCAGGGTCTCACGGGGGGATTTGTCCTCCGGGCTCTCCGGCCTCAGCTTGGGGCCTGGGCAGGAAGCAAGAAGGACAGGGAGGGGATTTGCCTCCGGCCCACAGGGAAGGCCAAGGACATCCCCCCAACTCCGGCCCCGGCAGGACGGCGGCGGCAGCGGGGTTGTCCTGCAGCCGGGGCCATGCTCGGCTGACAGAGCCAGCACAACACCCGCCCAAAGGGCCACTGACTTCCTCCTCACCTGCCTGGGGGGCCCAAGGCATCTTCCTCTTCCTCGCAGCCTCCTCCTCCATCCGCCCAAGCTTTGGGAAGGACAAATCCTGATGGGGGGAAACAAGGGCTGAGTGCGTTGGCTTGGGGGTTCCTCCTGCCCAAGTCCATCTCTAGAACTCACCGGGCATCCTGTGACCATAAAAACCTAACCTTTGTTGTCCAAGGGATCCCAGGAGTCCCCACTGTCCAGGTTTCCCCTTCTCAGCACCCCCCGTTTCAGGTTCCCGGGGGTCCCGGGGCTCCTCCCTCTCCGTGCTCCCCCCTCCAGGCTGCTGGGGGTCCCCCAGCTCTGACATCTCCCCGCTCCGCCCTCCACACTCGGCAGCTCCCGGGCTCCACACCCACCCCCAGCACTCCTGGGGGGCCCCAAACCCGCTGTGACCCCCCCGCCGGCACCGGGCTGACAATGGAGCCGGCGGGGCCTGACCCAGCAACACCAACCCCCACCGTGGGGGGGACCCACATCCCCCCACCCACCGACGGGGCTCTGCCCCCAACCCAGCCCGGCACCCCCAAAAAACACCTCCTGCCCACCCCCAAGAGCCCCCAGTGGCAGAGCAGGAACAGGAACAGCAGGAAAACAACCGCCCCTCCATCCTGGGCGTGCCTGGGAAGGGGGAACTCGTCCCAAATATTCTGGGGGGAGTACGGGGGGTCAGGACATACTCAGGCTGCCAGCACAGATTTCCCTGCAAGTCTGCAGTGAGTCAAGTTCTGGAGAGGAGATTGTGCCCCATGGATGGGATTGCAAAGGCTCCCTCAGGTCCCCAGCAGGAATCAGCAACCAGGAATATACAAGGACTGATAAAGAAGGAAAGTGAGTCAAAACATAGGTACACCTCACCAAGGTGTCAAGAATTTCTGCCAGATACACCAGAAAGGGAGCCAAAGTAGGAAAGTTCATGAAGAGGATGGAGGTTGGGCCGGGGGCCCATAAGGATGAAAAACAGGAACGACCCTCCTGGATTCTCCTCAAATTGAAGACCACACCTCTAACTCTGCCTAGTGATGCCTTAAGCCCCTAATGGTTTTTTATTTTTTAGTATTTGTAAGACTTGCAAGTTTTATAAGTAGGTTTGAAAAGCAGAAACCCTCCCTTCTTTGTCCCTTGTTCCTTTCCCTTTCCCTCCAGCACCCTTGTTTACACATTCCTTAACCCTCTTCCCCCATTCCATGCTCCCCATATCAGCCCTACTCCTGAATACAGCAGAAATGTTTAGTCTTTTGTCAAGGCAAGGCCTAGATGCTTGACAGAACAGCATATCTGGGCCTAACCCACAGAATAGGTCAGGAATTAGGTAACTATGTACCCTTTGTGCTCCGAGGATGATGAAGATGGTGAAGTAGGTGGTCCCAAAATGCACCCCAGACCCATTTTGAGGGGGTGGACCCCGGGGCGGTCCAGAGGAAAGGCCACAGGGTGGACACATCTGGGATTGGATGGATGGGGTTATAAAATGTGACCTCTCGGGCACAGGGGGAGCGTCTTGTAACATCTTAGCCTTGGCAAATAAACCCTTTTCTTATCTCACCCCTAATTAAGTGCTCCGGAGATTTTTTTCAGCACCTAAATCCCACGGCAACACTAGACTCCACCCGTTATGAATATTAAAAATGCACGTTGCAATATCATGAATATTCACATTGTATTGTGCAATCACTTGCCAAAAATGGTGTAAAAAGGTCAGCTGTGGATTGCTGGACCGAAGCGGTTCCCAGGGTGACCTGGACGCTTCCCAGCACGCCGAGGATAAAATACCTCCTGCTTAAAGGCTGCAAACTTTGTCTCTGAGCAGCTTCTCCGTTCGTGCCTTCTTGGGGGCAAAAAATTGGCGTCACAGGGGCGCTGGTTGGGTCAACCCCAAGAAACACCTTCCCCCCCCGGGGGTTACTACTTTTTTTTTTTTAACTCCAGGGGAAAAACACTTTTTATTTTTCCCCCACCACAGGAAGTCACAGCCCGAGGGAAGCGCCGGGTGAGAGACACCAGAGAGTCTCGGGACAGGGGTTGTTCCCTCCCTGGCTCACCTCCCTCCTGTGCCTGTTCGGGATCGTCCCCCCTCTGTGGCTGCAGGGATGGACCAGGGGAGGTGGTTCTTCTACAGCTTGTGTCAGCCTGGTTTCTCCTCTCCTGCTTTCTCCCTCTCCTGCTTTCTCCCTCTCCTGCCTTCTCCCTCTCCTGTTTTCTCCCTCTCCTGCTTTCTCCCTCTCCTGCTTTCTCCCTCTCCTCCATGGGCTTTCCCATTTTCTCCAGTTCCCATTTTGCCTCTGAGCAAAAAAAGAGAACACTCCAACCGGAATCATTTCCTCTTTTGTTAAAGCTAAAAAACCGTTTTCATGGAATCCCTGACTGTGCTTTCCTGAGTTATTTCCGAGCTGAGAGTTATTTTCTGGCCTTTGCATCTCCCAGGGATGATCTG